ATGGGAGAGCCTTTTCTGGTGTGCAGCCCAAGTATCGGTTGACTCTCTGTTGAGTTCTTGGGTTGCATCCCAGTGAAACTACAGCCTTGATAACCTTTTGCCCTCTCTCAGCTCCTGGTGCATATTTGGCTTCTCAGTCATCGCTCCCTTGCTCACTCATCAGGGGTCAGGATCTCCTGGGGCAGCTCACTTGTGAGAATGGGATTCCCTTAAAGGCTGGAAGACTCCCCAGCAGGCATACAAACATTCATTTGTGGAATGCATTCTGAACACATTCACTTTTCTTCCTTCAAACAGTGGCTTTGTGTTGTCACTTCCTGCACTTGAAGGTTGAAGGAAACCCATGTTTGCAAAGCTCAACAATTAGGATAAGAGTATTTTGACAGGTTCTTTTTTTACTGCAAGTTCCGGAACCCTCCCAGATTCTGAGAGTTGTAGTCCGAAACAACTTTCCAGTGCTCTGCTTGGGGTGACATTGCTGAAGATCTCAAAGGCTGTGTTGAATTTGATTGTAAGGCACAGACTTGGGTTCAAAGGCCTGCTCAACCTCTGCCTCGTGTGTGTGTGTGTGTTTATTTTCCAGTCATCTGGATTTATGGCAACACCATAAATTCCACAGGGTTTTCTTGGGTAAGCAATTCAGGTGGTTTTGCCAATTCCTTCCTTTGACATATAGCTTTCATTGCCTAGTATTCCTTGGTGATCCTCCATCCAAATTCTATCCAAGCTTCACCTTGTTTAGTTTCCAGGATCAAATGGGATCTGGTGACTTCAGAGTATTTTAAGCCTAGTGATCTGTCCCACAGATGAAAAATGGGGCACATGCAAGCAAGCAACGTCAGAGGGTGGCCAAGATGGCAAATGTTACTAAAGAGGAAGAGCACACAAGCTAGGAGAAGCTGTGACAGTTTGCTTCTGCTTGAGTCTATGGGAAAAGGCAAGATTTCACACACCCCTCTCCCTTCTGTTGAGTAAACTGAGTGCAAACTGCTTTGAACTCAGTTTGCAGCAAGTGAAGTAAACTGAGGACAAAAGGGAAAAGTGGGAGGAGGAGAGAGCAACTGGGACATTTTAAAAACAACTGAAAGGGGGAGATTGACCAGGAGTTGACATGTTCTCCCTCTCAGGGTTGGGCTGAGGGTCCAGTAAGGTGAACATTGTAAAAATACGCAATACAAAGATTAATGTCCTTTACCCTCGGATATTTTGAAGAGGGCTGTAAATGATTTGTGCTCTTGCATAGCTGGGGCTTATTGACAGAAGTCTGGGCTTTGCCTTAAATCTTGGCAGTGAAATATTTGCAAAGAGGCAAATTGGCTCTGATGGGAGCTGCCAGGCTTGGCCTGATCTTAGAAGAGCAACTGGGGAAGTTCAGGTTTGCAAAGGGGACAGGGCTGTCTCCAAGTTTATATTCGTACTATGGTGGGATTGCTGCTTGAGGGAAAGGACAACCCAATACTGCCTCTCCCATTCAACACACACAGAAGTCGACTGGACTTTGAATTGAGTTGTACTTTTCAGTTGCACTGGAAACTAGACATGGGGGGTTATTTTTGATTTGGCAGTAATGAATGCATAGAGGAAAGATGGTCAGTTCTGAAGGTGGCCCAAACAGTCTGCATTGAAACCAACTCTCGCAGCATATTTTGAATTTTCAGGGATGATGACATTGTCTATCATGCCCTGCAGGCTTCTTTGTTCCCACATAGATTAGTTGCAATCTTTACTTTTGGAGAGAAAATGAATTTCCTTACAACTATCTATTGTCATGGAATATATTCACATTGGCCATACAGCAAAATTCTGCAAAATACAAAATCCACAGAACACTAACATCTTTATGGGGCCAGCTAAAATGCACAAAATGCATCATGCAAGTTTTCGAAGCTTCACTGGCTTCTTCATCAGCCTAAGATGATAAAAATTGTACAGGAGAAGAAAGGTTACACTGTTAGAAGCACAGAATCACAGGACTACATTTTGTCTCAGATGTTATTTCTGCAGTCGATTAAGAAGGTCTGAGGGATATTAATGTAGGCAGAGGCCTTCTTGGCCATGTGAGAATGGGCAATAAAATTTCAGATCCCTTTGTCCTCCTTGCATGATGTATTTTGTGTATTTTAGCTGGCTCATAAAAGTATCACTGTTTTGTGGATTTTGTTGTAACTATTGTTATGAGAAGTCCCTGCCTTGAATGGGCAATTAAGACCCATTAACTTTACAAAGGACCAGCTCCTGGTGGAGATGAAAGCTGCTAGAAACAGTTTGCTGACTACGAGATAAAAGTGTTTCTCCTTGGTACTGAGGAGGCCTGGTTAAATCTTCAGATGGTGAGCCTATGCTGTTTCAGGACATGCTGTATTCTAATCTATGCCTTTTTCACACACTTTTGGGTCTCTCCAGATAAAGTCCAACCTGCTTACACTGCCCTTTTGTTGTTGTTGTGTGCCTTCAAGTTGTTTCTAACTTATGGCCCCTCTAAGGGGAACCTAAAATTGAGTTTTCTCTGCAAAATTTGTTTAGAGGAGGGTTGCCATTGAGGCTGAGAGAGTGTGACTTGCTTGAGCTCACCCAATGCTTGAGTGGGGATTTAACCCCTGGTCTCTCAGAGTCTTAGTACCTTCAAGTTGCCTATTGATTTATGGCAACCCAATTTCATAGGGTTTTCTTAAGCAAGGAATACTCAGAGGTGGTTTTGCCAATTCCTTTTTCTGAACTATACAAGACTATTTGTTGATGGTCTCTCCTGAATGTAATAAACATGGTTGATCCTGCTTAACTTCCAAAATCAAACAGATCTGGTGTCTTTAGTGTATTCCAGTCTCTGCTGTCCTGATCAAATCACTACACCAAACTGGCTTTCTTACACTGATCTTTGGCAATTCATTGCTGTATTCTGGGAATGTGAATTGATCCTAATCAAATCAGGATTATGCAATAAGATGCTAATCTTTGGGGAGGGGTGTGTGTGTGACTGCCTGCCTGCCAGCAAACCAACCAACATACACAGCTATATAGACAGTATGTAGAGAGATGTTGTAGCACCGTTGAGACTAAGGAAGTTATCACACGTGGGCCAGAAAGCGATAATAAAGTGGAA